TTGCCATGGGAGTTACTAGGCGATCTGCAGTGTTGCCAACTCCTGTGATTTTATTATGAGTCATATGATAACTGACTTTTTTCCTGAAGATCAAGCTCCTGGATTCCAGTATTTATTTTCTTTTTATATTTTAATTTGGTAAGTTAGACAGTAATTCCAACCCTCCTGCTTATGGCCAAAGTTTCAAAAACATGACTCAAATGCACTCTTAAGAGTCCAGGGAGCAATGGCAAATAAAGGAGAACCCAGCAGTTGGTTTTTGGTCGGGTTTTGGGTTTTTTTTTTTCCTTCCTTTATTTCCATGATCCCTCTGGCTAGTCTTGTGATTTTGTTACTCATGATTTTTGAATCTTTGGGGTTGATTATCATTCTATCTTTTCTTGTATTACTGCACTGAACATAATCAATATAATTAACCATCAGGATATATCCAGGTCTTAAAAGCAAAGCTCGGATCACTCATTTTCCTTGACTCCTTCCCTCCTGCAGTTGATTCATCAATATCTATAAGGCAAAGAATGTGCTTTTGCATCATCACATCTCTACTTTCTTGATGCTTGGCAGTGTCCCCATCACTATCAAAGTTCTGCTGAGGTTATAGATTTTGTACTGGGTGGCAGGCAAAATAGAAAAAATGCTGTCTTTAGTACTGCTCCTGCAAAATCTGGTGTCTTTCTGTTGGATGAGAAGGTAATACAGCTTGAACGTTCTTCATAGCTGCTACTGTGCTTTCCAACCACTAAGACATGATGTCCTGGAGGTGTCTTCTTTGGGAGAACAAGGACAATCTCCTCCAAGGCTTTCTGATAAAAGCATCCTCCTCCTTGCAGATTTCTATGACGTAGTGGAGTGAAGTCTTAAATTCAAGCCTCTCCCATCAGGTGGAATTCTTTCACAGCAGCTGAGTAGTTGAGTTCCCATCCCAACATCTCCCTCAGCAATTTTTTTTTAAAGGGATGGGATCTATCTGCTCAGCAGTGCCGTTTTATATGTATACATGTGCCAGAGGCACTGGATGAGAGAAGAGAAATGCAGTAACTATTTTTACAGTATAGGAGAAATTGGCTGCTGTTTCTGAAATGCATCCTAAGACATAAATAAAGTTTTCCAGTGTAGATAGTCCCAAAAAGACAGCATGTTGGTTTGGGCTTTATTTAAATGTTATTGGCTTTTGAGAGTTCTGTAATGATACTAAAAAATAAGAGGAATGTAAACTATAGCCTGAGGCCTCAATGAAAGTTACACATCTACAAACAACAGACACAAAGCAAACAACTTCAAGACAGTCAATAGACTTTGGGTGAGGCATACTGTTTATAAGGTCCTGAGAAATCATAAAAAAGATGTGAACCATAGAGTAAAAATGTTCTTCTGCAAGCCTGGCTCCACCAGAATCCATGGAGTTGATACTTCCTATGTGGCTGCTCTGGTGTCTCTTCCATAATATTCAGCCCACATGTTGGCTTGCATGTTCCATGCATTTTAACCACGGTGACTGATCTGTGCTGAACTGGTTGGTTGAAAGCTTCGTAGCAAAGAAACCACAGTCTCTTATTTGGAGCCCTCTCCATAGACAAGGAAGCAAGGAAAGCTAGAATTAGGCTTCCTGTAGAAGTCAAAATAAGAAAACTAACATTAGAGAGTAGATGGCAAAACTCACATTTTAGGAGACAAGCACCCATTTTAGGATGGCTTCCTTCAGATTTGCAAATCTGTGTTTTCTCCATTGACTTTCCCATTATATCCACTTTTTTTTTTTCATGCAAAATGAAAGGTTGCTTCTGTCCACAGTGTTCAGGTGACTTTGGTTGTCTGAGTGGGAGAAAACCTTGAGGAGTTGCTCATGTGGTATGCAGTGCGCAACAGGATAGTCAAGCATTTTTAGAGATGGACATTCAAGTGACTACAAGAAGAGGAGCAATCTTGCTGGTCGTGAACCACTCACTGCTGTGGGCGCCTCAGGGAATGAGTGAATACAATTCCCTAGGGAAGAACCACTTGTCATTCTCCAGGCAGGATTTTGTTGATTAGAGACAGGTCTGAGTTCATGTGACTTGGAAGGAGACCAATCTTTTCTGGATTTCTAAGTCCTCAGAGTCTAATAGCAGGCTGTGATCAGAAGAGAGTGATGTTGACTCCAGGTGTAACCTCAGGCCCTTTGCAGAGGTTGATTTCAGCATCAGTCTGATAGGGGAAAGTCAAACTTGGCTTTAACCCAGTTAGTTTGGAACTGGATGGGTTATCAGAGTGGGCAAAGCTGAGCTGCATAAATGAACAACATATCTGCTAGAGCAATGTGACAGTATTAGGGAAAGCAAACTGCAGTCTCACTTTAAATCAGAAGAAAGTTTGTCCGCCTGGGCAGTTTATCCAGTACCTTGAACTGCCAGAGGAATGAATAGAGAGGCACTGCATGTCAGCCTCTATTACAAGAATTTTTGGAAGAAAATTCAAGTGTAGTCTGTTCTGAAAGTCCTAAAACCCCATTAGCTTTTGCCATTAATTTAACCTGTTCAGAAATTAGCTGGGCCTAACTACGCAGCCTTTTCTAGTAATTGAATTAAGGCCTATCACTGTAACTTAGAAACTTAAGGTTTGTGACCTTGCAGTGGATTGCTGCATTCCAGATGGTTGTGGGGTTTTGGTTTTTCGGTTTTTTAAATCAAGTTGGTTTGGAGATCCCTCCTTGGAAGAGGTCCAAACATATTTTCATGTGTTTATTCCAGTGGGTGAGTCTTGGCAGAACCTGGCATGGCCCGGGGAGGCACAGGAACGAGCCCTGCCTTTCAACAACCATAGTGTGCTTGAACCAGTTTACCTAAGGACCCACCTTTGTGTGGCTTTTGGCTCCAGTGCTGCGGGCACTAGAGAGGACCGAGTCGTGTCTGTGGCAGAGGCATCCATCACGACACAGCTGCCCAGTGAAACAGGGAGCCACGTGAGCTCAGAGCTGAAAGCAGTGTAGATTTAGCTGAAGTCTTTGCAGTTTGAGCAGCAGGTGTCTTTCCCCTGTGCTCCGTTGTGAGCCGCGTGGCACCCTGCCACAGGTTTTCCTGTGTGAACTTGGGTGAGTCACTTCATCTCTCCCTTGATATTTGTCTCTATTGTTCATCCAGGCTTTTTGGACCATAGATTGTTTCTTACTGTTCAGAGGGACAGTCCCTCATTATCAGGTTGTTTTGATCATTACTGGAACCCAGATAAATCAATACAGCTATCAGTTTCTCTTCAACATGTGGTAAATAAGAGGTACCACCCAGAAGAGAGGAGCAATAATGATGATTATATTAACACATATTTTATAGAACACTAGATTCAAGACCTTTTGAGTTCCTACCACATCTACTTCAATGAGGCTTTGTCCTTCTGCATGGCTTCTGGGAGTTGTTACAACACAATTAAGAAAAGAAGTGTTCACCTGGGGCTTAAAATTCAGCCAGCCCATAACATACCGCCAGCATTCTCTACCTGAGTAAGTGTTCCCAGTGAGCTCATCATAACCCTCTCCTCTGTGTAGGAGCTTCTTCTGTACCATTAAAATCATTGGGAGTTTTGCCACTGATTGCAATGGCAGTAAGATCAGAGATCTTAGGTCAGTACCAGAGCATGCTAGTGATGAGAATAATGTGTGATTTGAATGAAGAGGGAAGACTTTTCTCTCAGTCCTTCACAATGGCTCAGAAATCCATTGAAAATGTTAGCAAGCGGCCTTTTTATTTCCTCTGGAAAAAGCATGTATATTTAATTCCTGTAATAAAATATCCTAATGGTAGTAAATAGTGGAGTTCTAGAAGGAAAAAAATTGATTTCTCGGCTAATGGAGGAGAGAGGGGGAAATTACAAATCCCTGGTTGCCTATTATCGGTTGACTAGCAACATTTGGCCACAGAGAGCAATATGAACATAGTTTTAACATGCAGGTGGCTACAAGAGAAGGGCTGTGCTATATGAAGCCCAGTATCTCCTTAAAGTGGTTCAACCTACTTTTCCAAATATATTACAAAGTGAGTCAGACTGAAACTGTTGTAGATAGTCTGCTCCACTTCAGATAGTTGCATATTCATTTTAGCTTTAGAAAAAAGTTTATGTTGGCATTTTCTGTTCCTTGTAGTCACGCTGGCTTTTCAAAATAGTTTTTGAACTAAAAATATGTTTCCTGAAATTCATACATTGGGACAAAAAATATCTCTTCCCTTACTGCTACCACACTGAAGCAGACGATGAGTACTAAGACTAGGAACCAGTAAACAAGTAACTCTTCAATGCCTGGGTGCAGAAATGTAACTGTTGGGTCAAAGTAGACTTCTACAAGACAGACTGTCATTGCAAGTTAGTTTGAGTTCATGTCCCCCAGGAAGACTCCAGTAGCAGATTACATGAGCTGCACAGATGCCCTATTGCATTTCCAGCTTGAGTTTCCCCCACAACCTCTAGCAGACTGTCTACCTTAAGTCGAAAGCCAGTTCCAGCTCTGTGTTTTTCTATGTGAACAGTAAGCAGATTAGGGACAACACCCAGGTTATGCTTCAGGTTAGTAAAGACAAACTTGCAAAATTCATCATGGTCCATGTTATAATGATGTCACCCACCTAACGTGCATTCCCACTATGGTATCCACAGTTACTTTGGCACACAGCCATGATGCAATATATTGTACGTGGGGGACAGATATGCTGCCTGTGAATAATGCAAACAGGTGACTGCAGAGTAGTTATTTCAGTGCGAACTCAGAATAAGCTTGATTCTGCAAATTGCAAAGCAATTTTTGCTCCCTCTGAAGTCAATAGAAGTTGGTTTCACTTTTCAAATTCACTTTGATTAACCTGATCTTGACACTGTGGCACTTGCCCTGTTGCAAAGAAAATTGGTAGCTGTGAAAGATCAAAGATTTTCAATTTAAGGTGGGAGGGGATGTTTGCTGCTGCTGAATGAGCAATAACGCAATCTGATAATCTATCATTACTGAGTTTCCTTCGCTTTTTTTTCCTTAAGCTGAAACTATGTCACCTGTAGACAGAAGTAAGGAAAATGGATTGCAAATGTCAAACCTATGCAAATTTTGTGACATTAAAGTAACAACCTGCTCAAACCAACATCAGTGCAAGAGCAACTGCAACATCACTTCTATCTGTGAGAAGAACAGTGAAGTCTGTGTCGCTATATGGTAAGTTATTTCTTCGTACAGGTGGGGAGGGGAGCACACCCTCATTCATGATTACTTAGTACTTTCCTCGATTGCTCTGATATTCAGAATGTTCCTGCTACCTCACCAGGCTTTGCCCTCTCGCTTCTAACTCATATCTATGCTCAGCATACTGAGAGTTGCTTGAGGTTAACAACAATTCTGATATGAAATGTTCTGGGGATTTTTTTCTTCTAAAGCAGTTCTGTTCCAGCTTATGCTGTTATTGGAAAAGACGCATGTTTTTGCTCAAACCATTAAGCTGCATCCACCCACAGCACTCAGAGTAGAAACAGATTTGAGACTCAGAGAGGATTCTGGAGGCATTTGCTGAAGAAAGGCAATTCTCTCTCAGGTTTCAAAGTGAACTAGATTATGTAGATCTATCAAGGAAGCTTATTTACCGTGTATAGGTAGAAATACTTTCTCTTAATGGTAAAAAAACTCTTCTGTGTATGTAGTGAATCTGATGTAAGTGTGGTGCTTTTTATATAGCATATGTCTAGGTTCAAAGGAATCGGGAGTATATGAAAATGAGTTGTAACACTTTTTTAGGATTTGTTGACTCTAAACTTGCATTCCAATCTAAAAACTGGGGTTTTGCCCTTCCATAAATGGTAAGCCAATCCTACCAAAGAAAACCAGAAACACTGGTGAGTTCATAAGTGGACAAAAGGAACAGAACTGAGTATTTACAACATTTCTGCTGATTTAGGAACATTAGAACCACTTACAAAAAGACATAATTAATTCATTTATTGAGGGATTAGTTGCGTCCATTGACTTGATGAGATGTTCAGCGTAATTGGAAGTAGACACTTGAAATGCAGGATCAGTCCAGTGTGCTATCCTGTATTTGTCCTGTGCTCCTTTAGCAAGTGATCAGTGTCTATTATTGCCATACAAAGTGGCTGTAGTGCAATTTAAGATACATCCTGGATTTTTCATGCCAATTTATCCCAAAGGCAAATGAGTTGAGAACTGTGTTTAAAGTGCTCTTTACCTCTGAGTCTTGTGTCAATGAAATGAAATCTGTGGACAATGACAAAACACAGGAATATGGTCCAGATTATCAGCTGTAAATATTTCCCTGACAGCAAGGCAACTCTAGCTTGCACCAGTTCTATGGTTGGTACTGGTTTTATTTTTAAAAAAATAATAATGTAAGGATAACTCCTTCAGTGCAGAAACTGTGCTGATTGTAGGCTTCAAAAGCAAAAAGAGAAGGCCAACTCACTAGAAATTCTTCAGATTTTGAGGAAATAATTCAGTTTTTATCATAATTTCCCGCAGATTTTTACTGTCTGCACAGTGACCACAAAAACCAAAAGTATGTTCTGGAGTTCACAGCAGTTCATTGAGCATTAGCTTGAATAATTCTGAGTGAGATTTTCAAAGGCACTCAGTGGAGCTTAGTGGTAATATGATACAGGAATAGCTGTGCCATTGTACAAATGCCCCAGTGTGAGGAGCCCAGACACAGCCAAATTTACCCCATTCAGGAAAGCCAGAGAACGTATGATATTCTTTAAATCCCATTTGACTTCTCAAAAGAGGCAAATTTCGGGCAGGCACAGTCCTGTCTGCTCTCTTTGTAAAATATTCCTTCTTTGATTTCAATTTTCTCCTTTTCATTTTTAGGAGACAGAATGATGAAAATGTGACATTAGAAACAATATGCCATGATCCCCAGAAAACACTGTATGGTCACATGTTGGATGACTCCAGCTCAGAGCAGTGTTTGATGAGGGAAAAGAAGGAGGATGGGGGATTGATGTTCATGTGTTCCTGTACAGGTGAAGAATGTAATGATATGCTCATTTTTCCATCAGGTAGGTTTAATAATTTACCCTGCATTCCTAGGCTATACCTTGCAAGTAATATTAACTGTGTCATACTGATGGACTTTGGAATCACATTTTGTGGAGGAAAACTTTTAGTGGCGGGAGATATTCTGGTCTCTTCTGAGTCTTGCAAAATCTCAACCTTTCTTTTCTGTGTTCAGAGAATATTTCTTCCTGCCAGGCTGTCCTCCTTTTGAAGTAAGTCTGATACTCAGCTCAAGATATTGCACTTAAAAGTTGATGAAAAGAAAGATGAAAGCAAGACGTTTAGAGTTGTTCTGTTTACACACCAAATGCAACATATGCCAATTACATTATAAAACATAAACAAGAGGCAAATGTCTTCTAAAAGGCTGTATTGCCGTAGTGTGGCACCTGTATAACACAGATACTACTGAGTAACTTGATAGGATGTGAATTTTAAAGTCAGCTTCTCTGTTGTAACTGACCATCTGCACTTGTTCTGTGGTGGGCGTGAAGTAGCTAGGAGATTCCTTCACTGATGGATATGCTACCTCATGCTTGTACCTACGGCACAAGGACATGTATGTGAGTTCAGTTAAACCAGTGAAATCTGAGTATAGACCAAATCACAAGTACATAACCTGTCCCCATTCTACTTCATGAATGCTTATATAGACCACTGCAAATACAGTAAAGGCAGTGCAGGTGTGTACAGTGCTGGTGGACCTCATACTGCACACACAGATGTGCATGTGTGCATGCGCACACCTCACTTTATTTTCTCCTACCTGCTGGATCCCACAGTGATTCTTTTACTGAGACTAAGTCACGTCTCTCGCAGGCAAGTGTGAGGCCTGCTGTGGAGAACATTGTGTGCACACGCTTCTACATGAGTATGGCACACAGAACACATCCTTATCACCTGTAAATTCCTCAGAAAAGGATATAATCAAATCCTCATTATCTGAGATAATGAAAGGTTGGGACACTCCTGGGGAACATGGCGCGTGACTGCACCAAGGCGGACAACTATGTGAGTGGCTTCTAGCTCTCGCTTCCCAGCCCTCCAAGAAGGCTAACTAGTTTAGGTTGCAAAACCACACCAGATTAGCCAAGAGCAAACTAGAAAGTCTTTGCCTCCCTTAGCCCAGGCTGTCCATATCCAGTGCCACCTCCTTCCCTCTTCCTCATCCTCTCCCCAAGCTTGATTTGAAACCAGACAACCTGACTGCTGATCCCTGGTTGTATGACCAACCCTTACTTGGGTGGGCTTGGAGTTGGAGTAAATACTGGTATTGATGTGAGCACAGGTGGTAGACCCAGGACCTAATTCTAACAGATTGCCTTGATTTTATTGAAGAGAATGTGTTCCTGGTGAAAAGATCTTACTGTGTCGGCTGTCTAGAGTTTTTATACAAAGCGAGCCACACCCTTGTGGATTTTGGCTAATTTGTTATAAAGCTGTTTCTCCTGGAGCTATGTAGCCGAATACAATCGCTCTGACAAATGTGTGTCTTCTGTGTGTATGTTTATGAAAACCGTTCTATAAATTCAACACCAAGTGCCTTCATTCCCATCAACTCTGCAGCCCCCCTCACACTTCCAGAGCAGCCTAAAAGGAGCTGTAGTATAGATTAAAACTCAGTCTTCTTACCCTAATTCCTTTCACTCTTTGGAGTGGAGCTTTTCCTTCTAGGTCATGTGCTGTAAGCAATCTAGGCGACTCATGAGAACTCTGCCCTGCAGTTACATGTAGTAAGTGAATAACTACAGATAAAAATTAAAGTAATGTAAAACCTCAGTTTGTAGTATTTCCAGTTCATTCACAAACACAAGCATTAACTCCAGTTGGGAGGGGGAGAATTGAGGCTTTGTCATTCCTTTTTTATTGTTGTGGATTAGTGTTTCTTTTAAATGAAAACAGCCCCTTTGGGTTGCTTGCCTGGTTAGCCATGGCAGGAAGACAAACGATTTTTACAGTATCAGACATGCGGTTTCCTGTCTGTGTTTAACTTTGAGCAGAACATCACAGCCAGCTGGTCCACGGCTCCTCCAGACAACTAGATAATAGCCTGTAATAATTTTGCCTTTGGAATGACTGTCATCCAGATCTATTCTGTACATTGTTCTTGCCTTTTTTTCTCTCCACATTTCTTGTACACCAGAGCAAGAATTTTTGCAGTATTTTTGCACATCCTATAGTTTTAGAGAGTGGACAAAAGCTAGTCTAAAAAAGCCTGATCAAAAAGTGATCGTACTCATTTATTAGCAGAAACAGACAATAAAAAAGATTGTAATCTTTCACTTGATAATCGCAGCCTTTCCTTTCAAGGTATTGCTATAAATGATCAGTGTTCTAGCTCTTCTTTCCCCTGGGTGCACACTTAAGGCAGACCAGATTTAGTTTGTTCTTGGTGTTTCTGAGGTAAGGAAGAAAATTGTGGGTAAGGCAAAAAGTTCTAATTTCCACCAGAGGTTAGTCACTTCGTTCCAGTGATTCACAGCTGAGCTGTTACTGCTTTTAGAAGAATTGGTTTATGGCACTGTTGGCTTGTATCGGTCTTGACTGTGAAGGGTAAACCTCCTGACTCCATTTTTAGACACAAACATCTAAAGGTTTTGGGCAGTGGGAGGTGTTGTGACTCACCCAAGTGTGGCTTTGGAAATGTTTGAAGTAGTTACATCCAAATCAAATGCCTGTTTCTTGTATTGACTTTCATTTAAATTGCCAATCTGCAAAATAAGCAAGACACAGTCAGGCACGTGCCTAAACATGCCTGTAGTTCTGCTGTGTCAGGGGGCTTCTGACCCTGATTCAGATCACTGGCATTTCAGGCCACGGGCAGCTGGTGGAAAATACTGTGTGCGGAATCACTCCAAACAATGTTCTGTAGCTCTTGGAGAAATAATATACAGGAGGCAGGTAGCCATTGCAAATCTCGCTACTCTGTGTTTATTTTTTAATCCCTCTCTTTTTTGCCAAACAAAATTGTGAGTGACTGGCAAGCAGCTTACACCCCTGTGCTGGAAAAATGCTTTTCACAGCAAAACTCAATGCCAGTCTGTTTTAATTATTATTTATTCAAATGTCTAATGTCAGCGTTACCAGAAGGCAAAGCCAGGGAGCAAAACCACTGGAAAAGATTAGCCAAAATCGGGGGGGGGAAGGCCCTGGCTGGCTAGAATTTGGCTAGGTGGCAGACAGGGGCCTGGTCCTGCTGTCATGGAAAAGAAGAGTGCAGGACTGGGCCACCAGGGTGTTTTCCTCCCTGTGTCTGGTGGATCTTCTGCATCTTGCTTTGCCTTCTTGTGTTTTGACCTGTTGTGATGAACCAGGTCTGTCGGTAGCTGTTTGTATGGTTCCAGGCCTCCCTTGGTGTTTGGGCAGCTCTGTTCCTCAGCCTTCCCTTCTCCGCACCATCTCACAGCCTCTATTCATCAGCCAGTGCGAGCATGACAAATGCCTAACAAAGTTCTTCTTTATTAACAATCCTAAGCTATTTGGCTGAGGTCAAGGCTTGTTTACCCAAAGGGACCAAGTAGGACTGTGCTCTTTCCAGCCTCACGTCTGACCTGTTCTCTGTGGGCAGAGATGACCAGGCACTCATCGTAGCTGAGGAAATGGGATACCTGCGTGTTACCCGGTGCATGACCTACCTGCTATGCAGTGCAACTTCTTCCTGTTGTGCAGGCTCGTTCAGACACATTCATTCAGCGACGTGCAAAAGGATGACCCCAGCACTGGAGACTGCAGACAGGAAAACAAATCCTTTAAGTATTGTCGTCGTTATATATGCAGTTGTTATCCTGGGCATCGAGTTCAAATCCAAGCAAAAATGCAGAGATCTCAAAATTTGGAAACGGGATTTGCAGACGTGTAGCCCAACTCTATTTGGTTTAGAGTCATTCTAATCACTTACGTGGTGATCGTTTTTCATCCTCACCTGTCTTGCCATGCTATGCAGATCTCCGTGCAGTTGGCAACTGAGGTGCCTGTTGGATTGTTCAGGTAGTCTCTGTTTATTCCTCATGTACTGCAAGACGAGGTCATTATTTTGGGCATTCGCACTGCACCCGGTGGTAATATGGGAGAAACCTTTAGCAGCAACAATGTATACAAGTTTTAATGATTATCTGAATCATCCAAACAGTTACCTTTAAATATCAGAACGTCAGTGATAGAGATGACTGATAGGTCAGCAAGAGTTTGAGAATAATAAAGCTAATTGGGGAAGTGTGTCAGAGGGGGGAGGGTGTTGTGCTGCTAACAATCTTCACATTGATCATGGTTTTACTAAGTTTGCTAATTGAGAGTGTAAGAGATGTAAGTATATGATTAATCAATTGTGGCTGAGTCATTTGCTAGAACGAATTACAGCCTATGGATTTGCAGTGTGTCAAGTGCTGTGATTGCTCATTGTGTACGGTTGTTACCTGGGAGACCTGGTATTGTTCTGCTGCCTGAACCACTGCAAGCACGTCTGCGTGATGCCTTGTCCTGTGCCCAGATCGCAGGAGATATGGATACTGTTTTAGAATTTCCTTAACTTGGTATCTCTCACTTGTCTCTAACATGTTGCCCCTGTCTTTTCCTTTCTTTCTCTCTCTCCTCTTCCTCTCCTTACTAGAGTCAAAGCGTTAGGGATTTTACTTGACTACATAGGAGGATCTCAGACTTAAGAGCAGACTTAAGAACTGTGCACAAACAGCCACCAGGCCATAAATACTCATGTGATGAGTTGTCCAGTGCTCAAGGAACAGCAGAAGGCAGACGATTACAGCTGGACCCCTTCCAAGTGGATTTTAACAAAGGCTTTCATTAATCTGTTTTTCTGTTACCCAACTAACATGTTCAGAAGGTAACTGTCTTCCAGCTGCCCCATAAAAGAGGTCAGTAGCATTACACAACGTTGCACAGAGCCTCTCACCGCTTGTATATTGGCATTGTTCTCTATGTTTCCTCTTAGGTATTTGCAGCCGCAAGGTCCCACCCAATGCCTGCAGCTGTATGTAACCAAAGGAGA